AAGCAGTGGTATCAACGCAGAGTACTAAGAAGGAAAATTTTGACACGTTATTATATTCTTTACAGTGCGTAACACAATGCTTGAAATGGATTTTAACAGTGTCTTCTTGAATAAAATTCATGTTGTCAAGCATGTAGTGAGTTATACAATGCAATTTTTTAAGTTTTACGATGTATACTTGTTCTGCGCTCCCTCTCAAAATATGCATTAGTGCTCAAATTTCCGTTCTCTAAATGTTTGCATAAACACACACACACACACACACACACACACACACACACACACACACACACACACACACACACACACACACACACACACACACACACACACACACACACACACACACACACACACACACACATATACACACACACACACATACACACACACACATACACACACACACACATACACACACACATACACACACACACTTATGCCTTCCTCAAGTTATCGTTTGCGCCGCAAAGGTTGTAGCAACTTTTCGTAATTATTTATGCAAACATTTAGAGAACGGAAATTTGAGCACTAATGCATATTTTGAGAGGGAGCACAGAACAAGTATACATCGTAAAACTTAAAAAATTGCATTGTATAACTCACTACATGCTTGACAACATGAATTTTATTCAAGAAGACACTGTTAAAATCCATTTCAAGCATTGTGTTACGCACTGTAAAGAATATAATAACGTGTCAAAACTTTCCTTCTTGTGATAAATCTCAAAGCTCCTACCTCAAAGACATCCTGCTCCTCTTGACTTGGACTTCGATCAAGATCAAGACTTCGAGCAAGAATATGAAAACTCCTAGTACTTTTAGTCTTTCGATTAAGGCGGTTAGTCTAACGATTAAGATTGTGATCGATTCTTTCGATCACAATCACCCTCACACTCACACTCACACTTCTATATAAAACGACTACTCTCGCGCTCTAACGCAAAATTTACCTGCGTATACAATCAATAATAAAAATATAAAAAATTTAACTGAGTATCTTTCATGAAAACAATTACTGATAACGGCCGTTGTTACCCTTTATGCCCACCCATTTCACCCCAGGACGCCATCACCGGACAAGGACACAAGCAATTTAGGTAAGTATATTTTAAATTTACTTAAGTTGGCCCTCCTTCCTTACTGAGAAGTTCCGGGGAGGGCTATTAATAATTCATTTACTCCGTCTAAGGGTAGGGACGAAGCGGAGTTTAAATTTTATTTTCATTTTTATTCTATTAATCAACAGAATAGTTCCTTGTCACTAGGAATTTGTGTTGTTATACATCTATGGAGACAAAAAGAGTGCCTTACCTAGTGCTCTGAAGACAAGAAGTGCATTGCACATACACTCAGAAGACAGGTAGCCTTTGCAGACCATAGGGTAAAATTCAACCGGGAAATTCTCAAGGATAAACAGAGGAGTGAGAACCAGAATTCAAAAAAAGTTAGACTACCTTCGTCACAACCAACGTTTCACATCCCAAGGTAGATATGTTTGCATGCTTTGCCTGTTTCTTCCATATGTTTATGTTTGTATGTTCTCGTAGGTTTATTTGCAGCAAAATCGGATAATCCAAACAACTTTTGTTCACTGGTGCATCATAATTTTATGAGGCTGGGTTCATACTGGTCCGCAAGTTCCGGAACAGTTCCAGCAAGCGCGCAATTCAAGCGCTGTGCTGTACTGTTCCGGAACATGCGGATCAGCATAAACTCAGCATAAGTGTATTTCAAAAAGTTTTGAGATTACATCGTATTGCTTGCTTGGCAACACCTACCACATCAAAACATCCCATAAGGCTCTTACTTGATTTAGCTAACTGATAAACTAGGTTAGACTGTTCAATGAACGGTCGTGGCAAACATAGTCATGCGCAAGGTGAACGCTTTGATATGTGCGTACTAAAATCTGAGTTTGTGGAAGTTAATGACACTTTGCACATTGTGCTGCTTTGTGTATATTCAATGTTTCGGTGGTCTCCCAAGACCAGAGACGCCTCTTTCATGCGTTGTGCATTTGTACAAATCTCCAGCTTCAAGGGTGATTTCCATTGATACGCCTATCCTCTAAGTTTGCTATTACATTTCATAATACTTTGATTGATTTAAGTGAGTAAATCGACTGTTCTATCGATATAATTGTGATATTGGGTAATGACACTCTATTTTGGAAAGACAAATGATATTAATGGTGCTTCCTTGATGCTTCTTGTAATTTTTAGCTGTGAGAATGAAATGCGTTTCAAATTTTTCATTGCAGCTTATTCTCGCTCCCATTAGCACAAATAGATCAAAGACTGTAGCAGTATGAGACTTGTGCATCACTTGCTGTACAAAATTTCCCAACGAACATAAAAATGCTAGGGATTCAAAGCCGCTAAACAGGCAGCGATGTGAACGAGTCAGTTCACATATAGGAATTTTTCGATGGCTCGATTAACTAATCTTCATAGAAAGATAGGTCTCTTTCCGATGAAAGCATTTAAAGGTAAGTCTTTTTTCGATGAAAGCATTTCTACTATACAGGAGATTTAGCAGCATCTGTAGCAAAGAATTTGGAATAGAGCTGATTCGAGCAAGACAGAGAACTTTTCTGTACACGGTGCAAAGAAAACAAACGGATTTACTTATCTTAAGCTTCGATTTTGGCCAAAGAAAATGAGAAGATTAACGATGCAATGGGTTTAGTACCACTTTTAAGTAGCTTAACTTAAGTTTTCTTTAGATTCAAAGCATACAATATCTGTTATAATCCAAGTTTTTTTCTGAGTACGTCACAAAAACCACAAATCATAGGAATAACGAACACAGTATATATATCAACTGCAGCTAGATCCGACAGTCACTCAATAAATTCTCTTTTCCTTATGTTTCCTTGGTTCCAACAGAGACTAGTTTTGCAATAGCAATCTTAGAACTATATTTACACTTTCACTTATTCAATAAGGCTACAATTGCCTTTGAACCTAAGCACAAGAGACTGAATTCATAAAAGATTTTTTTGATGCTTTTTCTTACAAGATGCAAATTGCATCTAGTGCTCTTTACGAAATAAAACTTTGGGCGAATGAAAAAATCTTTTTGGAAAATCCAGAGTTTGTTTTTGTTGCGATGCGAAAAAAGCTCATTTGAATATGAGTTAAAAGTCCGATGCCGTTTTTTGATTTCCAACACTTTTTCTGAGGTTATAAAGAGCAAAGAAGCTCTTTCAGATATCACTTTTGATTGGAATGGGTATCAAAACCTGTCTAATTTACATAAAAAAGTCTTTTCGACGATGAAAATTCCACTGTCCGTGTTCACAGAACAAAAAAATAATTTCAATCTAAAGTGACTCAATGGGGAGTTCGTCGACTTCAAGCTTGCAACTGCACTCGAATTCTGCTATATGCGCAAATATTACAAGCGGTCAAACTTGCATCTAAGCCCAACTTTTCTCTCAAAAGATGTGCGAGATATTAAAAAACGTCTTGTGCACATTGAAACATTTGACTTACTTTGCCAAAAATGGAAAATTTCAAATTCGCTGAATTAGAGAATGGAGGTTTGGAAGCAAACTGGTCAGCATCTCACACTTTTTGAAAAAAATACTAAAAATCATCAAAGCAGCAGTAATAGCTGCCCAGCAACTACATATGATCTCTTCAGCTTTGATTATGCCTGTTACAATCCTGCAGAAACAGGCCTAATTCTGAGTCAATCTTGTATTTGAGGGAGGGGGGGGGGGGGAATGTTCAAGGGCTACTTTTCGAAGATAGGCTGAACATTGTCCCTGCAGGAGAACTCGCACCTCACAAACAGCTCAAAGTTATAGCAGTTTGAGAAAATCTCAGAAGCTCGAAAACTTTTATCAATCTATAAATAACGGCCAGTACTCCGCTTACAAGTGCCACCTTCAATTACGGTACTTGTACATTCCATATATAAGAATTTATGTTTGAAGCGGGAGGGAAAGGAGTATTTTGATCCACTTCACCTCTAGCTCTCTTCAAACAGAGCGATTCTTGTGTAAGTTGTAAGGTGATGGCAATTGATGATCAAAATAAATTTCTCAAGAACTTACAGAGATTTCATTTTGCGAATAACATTTTTTTGTGCTCTAGATTACGAAGAATATTTCAAGTCTTTGTTGAGAAAGCTTTTGCTCTCATCAGCAAGCATTTTTGTTCTTTGATGTCGAAGAGTGGACAGTCTGCATGTCAAAAGAGAAAGACAACAGTTCAGTCATTACGAATTCTACCACTACAGTGGAATATTGACTGAATCACGAGTACCCACACATCAGCTCATTCGTTACAAACGCAGTGCAGCTTTCATTGAACTTTCCCAACCTTCTAATCGCAAGTTCGCTTCAATTTATCTTCTCAAGTATCCATGTCTCTCAAAAGGAAACTTAATCAGTCACAAACTCTGTACTGTCGTCTTCCCTCGCGTATCAGTATAAATAAACCCAAGAACTAATCAGAACTTTGTAGAGCACACTCATTTTGCTGAAAACAAATATGAATTTCCTGTTTTTCGTTTTCCTCCTGGGAGCTTGTTCCTTAGCGCTAACAAATGCTGCAACGTAAGCTGAATTTACGTTGTCCTAATGCGAAACAAGAATTTTGTGTTTCAGCATTGAACTCTGTTGCAAGAGATGCCATCCGAACAGCCATTGGTTGGGCGGCAAGCGTCCCAAGAAGGCGCAATGCCTAGAAATGTGCTCAGAGATGTTCGCGGACTTAGAACATGCATGCGAGGACTTTGGATGGTAAAACAACAAGCAGTCTTTTCCTCAATGCCTGTTTTTTCTTGTGATAAGATAAAATAAAGCATTGTGCAGCATGTTTGCAGAAAAATTCAGCGTAAAATACTTTGCTAAGACAGTGCCGTAGTACTTGAGCACCTTCACTCTGCAACAGAGTCAGCCACTCTATTATACAGAGAAAAACCTGCCTGAGAGAAGCGATCACTAAAAAGATACATACTGGGCAATTTCGTAGGCCTCTACCCGCGTGCAGCACGCGACAAAGTCAGAGAAATATTATGAATTTTTACCGAAAAATACTTCTTTCAACTAGGAAACAATGTTGTAAAGCCAAGAAAACAATATCAAGCTTGACCGCTGGCTGAGCCGTCTTATGTTCGTATGGCGCTTAATGATACACGCGCAAATAATTGTGACACAGTCTATAAAAGTTTTCTTATTCTTTGCGGTTGTGCATACCAACTTCTCCCCTGTTAATGCATGAAAATCAAATCAACACCTCCTTCGTAACGATGCTACCGTCCGGAGTTCTATCTAGCTTCTTTGAAAAAGTTGAGGGAAACAGCGCGGCATTTTCTTCCCATTTGTTGTACCATTATAACCATAGAACTACACCATATAATCTTGTTACCTGAAAAATCAAAACGGCACTCGTTGCAGCAATGGCCGTCATAAGACCTAAGAGAAAAAATGGAGTTTTCTAAAAAAACCAGATTGATCAGATGTTGATTTTTGATTCCTGAGAAATTAGATGCATCGAAGCAGTATAAAGAAAGTAGATGCTTGTTTCTACCGGCTTCATCTGCATATTTCGGCATTTTTGTGCAGTATCAGTAAATTCACTGTAGACAGTAACACCCACAAGTTAATCTACATATCTTTACAGCCCGTCATAGGTCTGCTGCCTCAACGTGGCGATGAGGTGCAACTGGGTGTAGTTAGATGGCTCAAACTCAACCAATTAGCTCAGCCAAAGCAGATCGTTTCAAATTGTTCTTTCAGGTATTGTTGCAATTTGTCTTTTAGGGCGAATCAAAATTTCCAGATTCAAAACCCATTAATGTCATATAAAAGTAGCGACAGCCCGAGCGCTTTATCTGGGCTATCTAGGAAGTGGCGTAAAAACATTAGGTCGGTCCGAAGGCAATTTTGCATTTTTAGACAAGCGCCACAGTCGAGGTAACAATAAATTTCTAGAAGATCTTGGTAGCATTCTGCATCAATTCACTTTTTTCAATTACTTACAATTTCGCTGCGCTCAACCAGCGTGCTCCTAGAAGTCAACCTCTGCCAAACATGCTTTTTTGAGAAGCTTTGCCATTGTTCTGAATCTTTATGCCAATTCTCCAAAGGAGTCCGAGTAACTGATAAGTAGAGCAAACCCTAGAGGAAACAGCACAGCTTTTTCCTCCTTCCCGTAGCTTGCCATATTTTTGTTCAAAATTTTCTCGGCTCAAATCGGCGGTTCTTAGCAGCCCCGCGTCAGACACACACATATCAAATACCAGAAAAACTTCGGAATTTGATACTACAAGATAGTGTTATTATTCAACATCAATTTTGTAGAACAAATAAGAGTTTACGGATCTAAAAAAATAAATTTGAATTTTTGCGCTGGGGTTCATGGCGCATTCCAATACACGAGTTATGTTAATTTAATTCCGAATACTTGCGAATTAGAAACAGAAAATGCCCATTAGAAAGAGGAGAGATAGCTGCATCGAGCCACAGCCGATCTGCTCGTTATTTTACAAAGATGGTGGACCAAGCATGATGGGTAGCATCTATTAAGATTCTATTGAAAAAAAATGATGAGAGTTTTTTAGAGGTCAGGAAAAGATGATGAATCTCTAAGACATATTGAAAAAAATTCAAAGTTGTAATGTGACTTTGCTTGAGTTTTGAAAGATCACAATAAAAAGGAAACTAGATAGCTTATCGAGTTTCTGGAAGACCTCGAACATTGCAAAACTCAAAAAAAGACTCATTTATTTGAAAAAGTTGCAAGGCTTGGTAGAATGTTGAGGTAAAGGATGCAAACAAGGATGTATCAGAAACTCTAATAAGATTTGGAATCCTTCAAAATTAATGCAAATAGGTTTATCAATGAGAGAGATATTTTCGCTGATTTTATCCTAAATTTCATGATTTCGGGTGTGAGCTATAAATGTGAAATTTTGCAGTCTAATATTAGATCATTCCGAAAGTAATTTCGCTTTTTTCGAATGGGCGTCACATTTGATCGAACAAAGGTTTCTGAGAGATCTTGGAAGCATTCGATGCAGCATTTCATTCTCTTTCTAATGCTTATGAAATTGTTGCCAAACAGTCAATGAGCTTTCAGAAAATAACCAGAACCTGCGACCTATGCTTTTTGAGATGGTCAAGTTTTACAATTTTTTAAAACCTTCATATCAGCTCAGAAGGAGTTCAATTGAAGATTCGATAGAGTAAACCTTATAAAATGTAGTACTACTTTTCCCCTTTCTCGTAGCTCGCCGTAATTTTTTGAAAGATTTTTCAACAGAACCATCAGATTTTGGCAGGCCCACCTCACCCACAATCGCATCAAACATCATAATGTTTCGGAATTTGAGACAACAAAGATGGTACTGTGAGATAGCAGTGACTTTACAAAGCAAGTGAGAGTTTACGGGTCTGAAATATCAAATTTCGAGTTTTTTAGGTACAGCCTGGGGTTCCTTAAGAAATAAATTGTGATGATTTTATCCCCGAAAACTGAACGAATCGGAAATAAAAAAACACCCGTTAGAAAGAGGAGAAAATGCGTATCGAATAGTACTCGAGCTGTTCTCCCTTTGATGTTCTACGAGGATTTAGCTACTCAAGTATGAAAATCGGTAGCATCACTCAAAATTCTGTTAAGAATGTATGACAAGCTACGGAGAGGAGAAAAAAGTAGTGCTGAATTTTATAAGGTTTACTTTATCGAATCGTTACTTGAACTCCTTCTGTGGATTGATACGAAGGTTTTAAAAAATTGGAAACTTGACCATCTCAAAAAGCATAGGTTGCAGATTTTGTTTATTTTCTGAAAGCTCATTGACTGTTTTGCAACAATTTCGTAACCATTACAAAGAGAATGAAATTCTGCATCGATTGCTTCCAGGATCTCTCAGAAACCTTTGTTCGATCAAATGTGGCGCCCATTTGAAGAATGCGAAATTACTTTCGGAATGACCTAGTATATACACTCTAAACTCATAGTATTAGGTCGTTCCGAAAGTAATGTCGCTTTTTTCAAACGTACGCCGCATCTCGTGGAGCAAAGATCTGTAAGAGATTCTGGTAGCTTTCGAGGCAGCATTTCATTCTCTTTCTAATGGTTACATAATCGCTGCATAAACTTTGATAACGTCTCGAAAAATTATCAAAATCTGCGACCCATGCTCTCTGAGAAGGCCAAGTTTCACTTTATAAATTATTATAACAACCCTCGGAAGGAGTCCAAGTAACGGATCGATAGAGCAAACCCTATAGGAAACAGCACAACTTTTTGCTACTTTCCAGAGCTCGTCATGATTTTTGTAGAAATTTTTCATTGTAATCATCTAACTTGAGCAAGCTCGTCTTAGACACAAATACATCAAAATCCAATAAATCTTCAGATTTTGAGACTTACAAAGATGGATCATGGTTTGACACTAATTTTACAAACCAGATGAGCATTCACCGCTCCAGATTAGCAACTTTCGAAAAAAGCGGGTACAGCCTGGAGGCGCTCTGAAAAACCTGAATTATGGTGATTTTATTCCGGAGAACTTGATGAATCAGAAACAAAAAACAAGTGGTAGAAAGAGGAGGAAAAGCTGCGAATGACATCCGAGTTGCTTGCCGTTTGTTGTTCTAGGAGGTTTGAGTTGATCAAATATGGAATTTGGTGGCACTGAAAAATTGATTCCAGAAACTCTAAGAAGCAAGCTAAGGAAAAGAAAAAAATTCTTCTATGTCCTATAGGATTTGCTCTATCTACCTGTCATTTGTACTTCTTCGGAGAAAGGTACGAAAAATTAGAAAAATAACCAAAGTTAACCATGGCAAAAAGCATGAGTCGCAGGTTTTGGTAATTTCTCAAAAGGTCATTGAGGCCCGTAGTAAAGCTCGATCATGGGAGATGATCTCCCCTGAGACCTTCATGTGAGGTTTTGCCAGTAAAATGACGACCGCCCATATCCCCATGCTATAGGGATGCAAGGTCACCTGAGAGGTGAGCCTCAGGTGAAGTTCGGCAGGGAGATGAGCTCCCCTGCCGGGTCATGGGAGATGATATGAGCGATGATGTCCAGAAATAGTGTGCTTAAGAGGAAACGCAGAGAAAATCGTCGTAAGTTGCTCCTGAGTAACTTACAATACACACCACTTTGCCTAAAAATGCAGACAAAATCGGCGCAAAGTTGCACAACCGCGCCCGAAAAGGAGAGGATCGATGAACAGCTGATTTTGGCGAGTAAGACAGAAAAAAACAAATTCTTCTCTTTTTTGTAAACTTAACTGGTTTTTTTCAAAGCTGTCCAAAACGAGGACTCAGCTGTTCATTTTATTAAATTCACGTTGCAACCATTTCGTTTTGTCGCAAAATTTTCGTAACGAAATGTTTTTTTGTTTTATCTTTACGTTTGCTAGGCGAAATCCTTGATAGCGGTCATCATCGATTGGATAGTGGCCGCTATCAAAGATTGCCCGGCGATGCAGCAAAAGTTGCGTCGCTAGGCGGAATTGAACCACGGCCGCGCGCGTGTAATTCCAATGGCTTACCCATTTAACCAAACCAGCTCAAGTGGTTCTTTTTTCAAGAACGGACTTGATTATAATGTCCAGGAAGCGATCTGCATCCAGATCAATAGCCCGCCGGATGCTGGACTGAGGCGCCAAGATATCAACTCCGGTCCGCCTCAGGGGAGATGCCCTGACGGTAGTTTACTACGGGCCTGAATATTATGCAGTGAAATTATTAGGTTGTCCGGAAATTAATGTCCGTTTTGAATTTCAACCGCAACAAGTCATACACTTTTCATTCCTGAATAGCTTTCAAGATATCATTCGATAGTGCAAAGCAAGCTCTACAAGATGGTCGTTTTGTTTTAACAACAGCTCTGATCCACCTCGACTTTCGAGCCAAAAACTAAAAAGATTCAACTGCCCGAAAAATCAAGAAAAATCATTATTCAGTTCGTAAGAACTCCACAAAAATTCTAACTTGCTCACGTAAACACTATCCACATAAGACATATATGTACGCTATTGCCGTATTTTTTCCTCTGTTAGAAATCGAAAAACGAAAATTTTCATACTTTTGCAAAAGTGATGCTGTGTCGTCCCCACATAAGTAGATGTGTACTACAAATCTGTAGAAGTATAAACTAAATTTTCAGTTCTCTACAAGCTTTAGTTCTCGAGAAATATCGAATTTAGCTTTCATTAGTCAGGTGGTCCAAACTAAAATTCAAATTTCTCGAGAACCAAAGCTTGTAAAAAGCTGAAAATCCACGTTTTTACTTCTACAGATGTGTAGTATACATCTACTTATATGGGAACGAAACAGCATCATTTTTGCAAAAGCATGAAAATTTTCGTTTTTTCGATTTCTAACAGAGGAAAAAATACGGCAATAGCGTACATATATGTCTTATGTGGATAGTGTTTACGTGAGCAAGTTAGAATTTTTGAGGAATTCTTACGAACTGAATTATGATTTTTCTTGATTTTTCGGACAGTTTAATCTTTTTAGTTTTTGGCCCGAAACTCGAGGTGGATCAGAGCTGTTGCTAAGGCAAGACATCCATCTTGTAGAGCTTGCTTTGCTCTATCGAATGATACCTTGAAAGCTATTCAGGAATGGAAAGTGTATGAGTTGTTGCGGTTGAAATTCAAAACGGACATTAATTTCCGGACAACCTAATACATCCATTTGAAAGAGATGAAATGCTGCATCGAATGTTTCTAAGAACTTTTGAAAGTCTTGTTTCCATGAAATGTGGCTTTCATTTGAAAAAAGCGACATTACTTTCGGAACGTCCTAATATATAAAGTTTTAGGCAGACTGAGCTATTCCGAAGTTCGCTTGCGACTTAGACTTTCCATCTTGATGCAAGGATTTTAGAAAAATTTGGAATCAATGGTGAGGCTAGAAAGATTGGTAGAATGAAACAACCCTTGAAACTATGTTCCAGTAAGGCTTATAAGTGTCCACAATTCGCGAAATTCCACCAGTTCTGGTTGTCGCTTTATCGCATATTGCAATGAAGGAATTTATTCCCAACCCCAAGCTTGACATGAGACAGACATGAAGTAGAGACAAGATTGAAGGAACTTTTTCAGATATCACTTTCGATTATAATGGGTGTCAAAACCTGTCTAACTTACATTACGAAAAGTTTTTTGACGAAGAAAATTTCACTGCTCCTACTGACAAAACAAAAAAAAAATCGTTTCAATTTATAGCGACTGAATGAGAAGTTCGTCAACTTCAAATTTGCAACGACACTCAAATTCTGCTACATGCTTAAACATTACAAGTCAAACTTGCATCTGAGCGCAGCTTTTCTCGCGAAAGATTTGCAAGATATTAAAAAACGTGCTTTGCATTTTGAAAAATCTGTCACTTTGCCAAGAAGAGAAAACATCAAATTCACTGAATCAGAAAATAGAGCATATTTGGATGCTTAATCAGTATTTTACACTTTCTTAAAAGGATTTTTTTAAAAATGGTGTATGAAAATGAAATAATATTTATATAAATTCAAAACAAAAGTACTTATAAACATTTCACTAATTATATTTCATACAAATCCAATTTAGAGAATTTGACCATTCAAACTGGATAATTTTATAATTTTCACCATTTTTTCAACCCCTCCCCCCGGTCGACGCTTGAAATTTTTTCGATTCCCCCCCCCCCGGTCGACGCCGGCACTTTCCAGACACCCTTCACTTTTGGAGGTCAAAATCAGCTGGGACACCCTTCACTTTCGAGGGACCCCGATCACCCCGTCGTACCTATGTTCTGTAGAAAAAATATTGCTGCGTCTGGCAGAAAGTCTCTGTTCTTCAAGCTAATCAATTCTAGACTTAAAGACAAAAAAGAAATTAGCACAATCTTATCGAACGATGGGGCTGTAGTATCTGACGATTATGAATTAGCAGAGCTATTTGCAGATGTTTTCGAAAAGTCATATCAAGAAAGTGATCCTGTTAGTCACAGTCAGCCTACGTCGTGTTTTCCTGTAATAAAAGAAGTACCCTGGTTCCATAACAATGAAATTTACAAGTTGCTGATCACTTGGCCTAACTTCAAATCCCTTACTCCTGATGACCTACCATTGAAATTCATAAAATCAATTGCGCATGCCATAGCCGGACCTCTTTAATTCATATGTTAATTCAGTCTCATGAGAGCAAAAGTGCCAAATAAATGGCGCACTTCTTATGTTACACCAATCCCTAAGAGAAGACCGTTTACTTCTCCTAGTAATTATCGACCGGTCAGTATGACGTCATTATTTGCTCGATTGTTTGAAAAGACATTGAAGAAATACATTGTTAAACATTTGGAGAGAAACAAAATTATTTCACCTTTCCAACACAATTTTCAAAGGTCAAACACTGCCATGACGGCCATGTTGCAGACTTTGAACGACTGGACACAAAATTTTGACAATGGATTCAATATCGATGTCATTTATCTTGATTACTTCAAGCATTTGACAAGGTACCTCACTATAAGCTATTGCTAAAGTTGAAGATGGTCGGCATACATCCTTGCATTATTGCTTGGATTGACGCCTTCCTTAGAGACAGCTCTTTTCTCGTGCGAGTAAATTCTGCTTTTCTAGACCCAGAAAGATGCGTAGCGGCGTTCCGCAAGGTGGTCTCTCACCCGTTTCGTTAATATTTATACTTATGAACTTCCCCATACTCCTATAGGCTTAGGAGTCTCATGTAGTGCTTTTGCTGACGACTTCAAATTGTATACTGTTATTATGAATGAATCTGGCCTTAACTTGCTACAGAATGCATTCAATGAAGTATATAAATGGTCGCAAAGGTGGTCATTGCCTATCTTTAGGGACATATAAGCGTTTCATGCTGGACCTAGTGGCTGCAACCAAATTTTCAATACAGCTTGTGTGAAGTTCCTCTCCGGGAAGTAACAAAAATACAAGACCTAGAGTTCATAGTGACCAGCAATCTTTATTTTAGCGACATTGCGAAATGATTGCAGACAAAGCTACCGCAGCGATACATAATTTATTCAGAGTTTTCAAGTAACGATACGGCTATGTTCATAGCAGCATACAAGTCATTTATCAGGCCTATGTTGGAATACGGAACAGTTGTGTAAAACCCAAGTATGCGCAAAACCAAAAACTACCTTGAGAAAATTCAGAATAGTTTCACTAGGAAACTTATGATACGTAAGATTGGTTTTAAATACTATCTTTTACCCAATGGGAAGATTCGCAACAAGAGCTTTGGGACAGGAGCTTCCTCACTTGCTTATAGAAGAAACGTAAATTCGACCTAGTTATGGCGCACAAGATTGCATTTGGTGAGTGTGGTCTGGATTTCAAAACCTTTTTTCCAACTAAGAGTGTCCATTTCTAGGGGAGGACTCAGGAAGTTGGTCATTCTAAGGGCAAGGTTAGGGATACGGAGAAACTTTTTCACTTGTCGTACAGTTTGTGACATGGATAGACTAATTAGGAAGGGTATGTTTCCGCCAAAGCTATCTCAGTTTAAGACGGTTCTAAAGAGTTATCTACAGTCCATTAGCAGCGTTGATACTATCGAGGTTTTATAACTTTGATCCTCACAGGATTTCGTTCTGTGCATGTGTTCTTGGTTTGTTATTCATACTATTCTTTTGTTGTTGGCATTGGTTGAATTCATGCAATAAATAAATAAATCAATAAATATGGGCCGAGGAAGTGGCCAAAGAATGCTCAATCGTTCGCACATAAAAAGCCAGATACTTTGCCTAGCCTTCAACGTTTAATTCTGCAAAGTAGACGCAGCACTTGCATCCCTTCAGCAACGGACTATTGTAGCGGTTGCAACCTTGCAAGAAAAGCTAGGAAAGCTAAGAGCTTCGAAATCTTTTCCGCTTGATATTTTCAATTCAAAAAGTCGTTTGCTCATGACGCTTGAAATAAGCCTTGAAAAACTCTCATTTTCCTAGTAAACCTTTGCGGAGATCCCATCCAATCGTGACTTTTGACTAAAGATATATTTGTACAAAAAGACTTTTGTTACTGCCGAGATTATACTCTTGGTGAGCCAAATGATGAGTTTCTTGTAAATAATTTTCTTCATATAATATACCAAATTCCTCCCTAAAACCGCTCTCATCTCTTCTCTTCTCACTTTTACTTCTAGAGACTGTCGAGCTATGCAGTTACTTTGCATTATCGAGATTAGCTGTCTCGGGGCTATGCTACCATGTTCAAAATAATTGAGATAGAACCATTGTAAAAAATTGGAGAATGCAATAAATTGTATTATATTATTTACAAACATTTAAATGTATCGATATAAACAATCTAAACCACCAAGGCTCAACCATAAGATTGGCAGGTTAACAAGGAACAAAAAACTATGACTACAAACTCGATAAAGAGAAAGTGTTAAACGTTCATGAAATACCGGATGAACTGTACCCGTATACAGCGAGTGAGTGATTGTGACTCTTTTGAGCTCGAAGGTTTACGATAGATTAGTACGGAATTTCTAGACGAACCGCAGTCAAGAGTCATGTACCGGTCCTATAGAGGAGTTTGGAGAGATGTGTTGATAGAGGTGCGTTTGAGGTATCGTAAATCCGGATCGAAAGCTATACGGCGCTGCTATTGAAGACGTCGAGTCAAGCGGCGATGTTGTCGTCGCCTCGGATTTCGAAGATGAGCACGGCCAATGGGTAAACGGACGCGTATATCCCCAAGGCATATCGTACCTAGAACCAAAAGGATAGCTGATTGTGCGAGTTATCTATGGGCATCTGTTGTAGCTAAAGTAAGGAAGTGATGCATTTCTGTTAATCATTTCTGCGACGTATGCAGGGCGATAATATATGGGGAGCCAAGAAAGCTAACCTTTGATTAAGTTGAATTGGCGGATGTAAGGCGTGGCTTTGTGACCTAATTAAGGGTCACAAAGCGAGAGAGAGCAGACTGCTCGCGCCCGCGATGCAGTCTGCGCTCTCTCGCGTTCGTGCTCTTTAATCATTCTCTAGGCTTAACTAGGTCACGAAGCCCCGCCTTCCAGCCGCCAATCCAGTTGAATCAGGGGGTACGTAACCGGCCTAGTTCTTAGCCCTGACATCGGTTGTGTGAAATTTGTTAGCAAATTTGGGATATTCTTTCGCAATTCTAATGTGGACTTCCATTTCTTCTTTTTATATGGGTCACACTAGCATTCAACACTCACGGCGAACCCTATAACAAGTATCCGCAAGAATGAGTACTCACCTATTCTCGTCTTCAGCCACCTTGCAGGTAGACGGAGAAAATGGTCGGTAGCGTGGTTTCACGGAACGGCGATAAGTGCTTGAAAATTTGATGTGATTTACGCAGAAGGACAAAAAAAAGAATGACGTGGGCTGTTATCAAGAGCTACTTCACAAACCTTTTTTGTTGAAGGAAAGCAACTAGAGCACAAGCGAAGCCTAGCGATACCGAAACTGCAATCACGGCCAGTACTAGAACGGAGACGCGTAATATCTCGTCTTCTTGTAATTGTGCGAGAATCGATGTCGACAACGCGGGAGCAGGAGCGTCTTCTGGGAGCTACAAAACTTCGATTTTAGTTATACTCAGAGTGACGATGTAAAGAAAATGTATGAGCAGATTTTGTAAAAAAAAATGTATGTCTTGAGGAAACGCAGATAGAAGTCTAAAATGATAAGTATTATTCCTTAAAGTCCTTTTACTAACCTCTTGCTCAAAGAGCGCATGCGATGGATCGGGGCACCATGGGCACCTCTCTATATGCTTTTGCGCAGCAATAGTGGCGTTGAAACATTTCGCTCGAGCCTCGATTAGCCTCTTGCCCAGCTCCTCATCCGGTATTGCAATGGTAGTCAAGTCCTGATGACGTCTGTCCCGGCCCTGCAAGTGTCAGATCATAGCATTTGAGATCATTCAAAAAAAACTAATTTTGGCTTTTCTGACAAAGGATAAAAATTAGTAATAAGATAATTACCAAAACTTTGATGACCTCATCTTGAAAAACGCGGATGGATGGAGTTTGATCACAAACTCTCGGAAAACCGTAGGTGGGGTCACTGCCAACAATCTGGCACGAGAGGGTCACATCCTGAGGATTACCGTTCTCCCAGTACGACACAAATGGTCGTGAAGCATCCTTAAATGGAAGCATATAGGATCGAGGTAGTGGACGAGTAGTGATGGTTTCCCAAATTTGAAAAATACTGAGAATTTCCTCATATTATTCTATTCGATTCAAATCACAGTTACAAAGTAAAAAGACTAGTCATTACAATTGAGCGTGACATTGTCTCAACAAACTTCTCGAACCCACTTGCGCAAATGTTGATTGACTGACTAATTGCACTAATTCACAAAGTTGCCGCATAGATGGCGTAACGATATAAAACATACGCGCAAGCCTGAGAAATACAATATTTTTTTGCTTTGGTCTTCCAAAAGCTGCATCAAATAAGATTCTGGTCTTACTGGACCATGGCAATGTTGATCTGGTTACACTGATGGTTTCCTACCTGCACAAAATGCTCCGAGACCGGCCAGCTTATAGAGATCCTTTCCGAATTTGGTAGCATGTCTTCAAGTATCTAAAGGTGCTCAATCGGATTCAAAGAAAAGGATATATGAGCCACAGTCATCTTAACCTTGAATCTGGGCTGAGAGCAGCCGGCAGTGGTAAGACATCCTTCCTTCCAATCTACCCGCAACAGCTCGGCGGTTATCCAGAATGATTCTGCCAATGTAGCAGGTAGCAGAATTAGTACTGCTAACATCTAGATACAACGTATTTTGTGACTAATCATACTACTAATAGGCAGAATATGGTAAACGTATCACAAATAAGGCATGCGGATAGAGGTGGAGCGAGGTGAGGCGTTATTGTGCCGCCCGCCCTCTCCCTAATTATAGATGCGGGTAAATGCGGAAAAAGCTCAAAGCTGAGGATAATCATTGGTAGAGATCAAAGAAGACCAGCGAGATTATCAATGGCTGTGCAAGCGCATAAGATGGGTCATATGCGGATCGAAAATGAATAATATAGAGGCTGAGGTCGCGGCATATCCGTATGATTAGGTGTAGCATGATGTAGCATATGCCAACAAACTGGTAAAATTTTAAATGATGGCATTACTGCAATTTTAGGATTTTCCAAATCATCAAGGTGTTTTTGAAATCAAGATTTTTTCATAGAACGTCGTAAATAATCTTTACAAATCTCAATTTAGCGTCTTCTGACGTCATCTGAGATCGTCTTGCATGGCATTGATTGGCATTGCACAGAATTGCAAGAGACAAGGTTTAGACAACCAGCGACTTTGGTTTACTAAGAAAGACGCAACTCTACAGAAGAATACCAAAGATGTTGAGATATTGAAGCCGGCTACTCGAGAAATCTAATCGAATGAGAACTAACCTGCTCGATGCAAAAAAGATTGGATAAACTCGAAGACTGAAGTGTGATGTTCATCTCATCGCTAAATGCGCTAGCGATAAAGATCTGCATGTTTTTGCAAACATGTTCAAGGCAGTTTTTCTAATTCAGTTGGCTGGTAAGATTCGGTTCTACTGGGTAACTTGCAGCGATTTAGATGCAACGACGAAACTAAGCAAATTTTCTCTAAAAGGATAAAACTATGCGAGAAAAGCACAAGAGCAAAGTTCTGAGAAAGTACACTAGGTCACTACGCAAAAAAAAAACATTTTAGAGCTAACATATAATAGATAAACTCCATGTTTAGAACTCAGACTTTTTCGGCGTAGCAGAGTTCTACATATGATAGATAGTTCTCTGCATCGAATGTGTAACTCATCATAAATAAGTGGAAATGGATAAGGAAAAAGAATGAGCTTAGCACTAGTATAAATAGTCAGGAATTTTGAGGTTTCGCCAATTGCGCAAAACTTCATTTAGTAGTGAGATTTTCACAAAACCCGCTCATCAGAACTTTTTCATACGTTTCATCTTTGATGATTGGCTATATTTGCGATACGAACTTCATTCTGTTGTTCAAAAACAGGTGAATGATGGAACTAAAGGTTAAGAATTTAAGTTCTACTGGTGAAAATGTTAGCAGGATTTTAAAAAATGGAACTGTGACCGCTTATCATTGCGCGCTACAAAGAGGATCGAAAATGGTTTTTGTGGATGAACAGAATTCTAGGTTGTGTGTTCTAAGATCTGTGAAAATCAGAAAATCGGTTAAATACAGAATTTAAGATTTCTCCATTGAGAGAGATGCAATACGGCGAGAGCAACGCATTTTGTTGATTGAGTAAGTTTTTAGGCAATAGCTAGTACTTTAATATTATTTTCGGAAGTAGCACACAAAAGCGCAAACCGACACAGCTACATTGTCAAAGGCTGTTAACACCGGATTTACGCCTCTTGGATAACTTTCCGAGGTGCTCAAACACCTTACGGACCTGTCACTCAAGCGTCAACTCAGTGAGAATGGTCACCGCTTGGATCAAAGGGTTACAAAGCATTTACATAGCCCCTGGCGCCGTAATCAGCACTAATGAATGAGCGCAAATCCGGTGTCGGTCGTTGGGAAAATCGAAAGGGTAAATTGCTGCTGAGGGGTACTTCTGTAAACAATCTAAAGACTTCGTATGCTTGTGTTATAATTGCAAAACAGACTCACATCTCTGACCCTGAGCGCATTCTGCGTTTTGCGCCTTCTTCAGAAGCTGTTTATTCGGTCAATGAGTAGCGCACCTCTGCATCGGTGTGCGCTTTGAAATGTGACACCTCTCGTGATCTGCTAAGATCGGCTCAACGCTGTATATTAGCCCGAAGGAAAATTTTCAAATAATTTATCCTATACATTACTTCCCAGGTATATTGAAAAATAGGACTGATATCTTTAATTTTGTTCAAGCCGTAGCAAGTATTTAAAAGAACACTTTGATTATGCCCATAGTTTTGGCTTTAGAAACCTTTACGCCTTAAACAAAATCGAAGAGCATCTACACAACATAAAAAGATTTTACGAAAAGGAGACATACAAATAGGATTGATTTCAATAAGACCGAATGATATCCCAGAAGTCTCCTCTATTTTCCCGAACTACCTTGAATTTATCCAGATACAAATATGTTTTTTTTCCAGGGAGCAATCTATCCGAAGAGAAAAAAATTAGGCAGTGATACAACCTGTTGCTCCTCCCTCTACTCCTCAACCTTTTTTTTAGAAGTAAAAATGACAATGGCTTCAGAGCGAAATGGTAAAATACCGACATTAACTTATTGTTAGTCCATAATTAAAAACTGAAAAGTTGGCAGGGATAAAAAAAAACTATTGACAATCTTTCTATGGTGTTAGTGTATGCTATTGGAGTACGCACCAAAATAGCCACCTGTGGTTGTTGGCTACCCCTATTGTTGTCCAATAGACAGATTAACGAGCTAGCCATAGGGTAGCAATGGTATAAAACACCTGCAATTGCGAATTCCCCTCAAGAATACATCCCACGGTAATCTTTAGCCTAAACAGAATTTAATGGAGGATGCAATTTGCTGAGATGTACAAGATATAAGACAGATAACATTTGCAGATTGTTACATTGAAGCAGCTCATGAGACAGAAGGATTCGATTAGACAAAAAGGAAGAAAACCAAAAGTGAAAAAATTGCACAAAGAGCAAGGAACACTGACCTCGCCGAATAATCTACCAGCGCATTTCGCTCAGTAGCACCTAGTGCTCTTGGTAAGACCTAACAAAATAATTTAGGGTGGGTAGACTTTGCTGGCAGCGTGGGGCAGAACAATTGGTCAATGTAAAGAACAGCAAAAATGAGTACGAGAACTCAGTACGATGGCTGTATTCTGTGATGTAGGGGATAAGAGCCCATAAGCTGCTAGCAGACAGCAGCACAATCGCTGCAAACGCTTACTTCCCGACTTTTTACTGTTAAATAAATGCCGAAAGCCGAGTGTTAGTTGTCTTGTTACATAGATCAGAAAACCTCAATTGGAATTTTGCTCTCCATAATCACGAAGAATTTGCGCGCTAAAGAAACGAGAAGAGAGAAAAAGTATAGCCAAAAATGTTTTTGATGACAAATTGACGACAAATTTAGAGGGAACCTGCAACTCAAAAAATACTTTTTGTTTAGGTTGAACCGAAAGTTCTGTCGCATCATTTCCAAAAAATCGTAACTTCTTCCTCTCACGGTAGTCTTGCATGGCAAAAAAAGTCTAGAAAGATCTACTCATGTACTTTCTGATGGCACCTTGCTTGCTCTCTCTAAAGCTCTGATTGCGTGGATGAAGCCGTGAAAAGGAATCAATTTGATTTCGGAAGTTTGAAGCAAGCCCGTTGAAAATCCCAGAACTGTGCAAAAAAAAGAGTCAGTAACCTAAGTCTTTTGATCTCCTTTTAGATGAGTAAAATTCGCGCTGATCGAGCTTTCCTTGAAAAGTCATGATTTTTGGGAAAAATGGCAAAAATGTAGCCTTCTTTTCTTAAAGAATCATAATCTTTTTAAAAACAGCTCAATCAGCACGAGTTTTGGTCAGCTAGAAAGAGGAGGTGAGAAAGTCCAGGACACTGGCTGTTTTGGATTTTATGGCACAGTTTTGGAATTTTTAAAGGGCTTGCCTCAAAATTCCAAACTTGAAGTAATCTTCTTTCCCCATTTTTATCTCTGCAGACAAAACCTAGGGGAGAGCGCGAAGGATTTCTTTAGAAAGCACATGAGTTACTTTCTAGCATTGAGGCTGGACGAGCTTGCGTCCGACTGAAACACTTCGCGTTTGGGAGAGAACAGAAGGTAAGAGAATGAAAATGCGCTCAAAAGCAGTGGTTTGGAAAAATTGCAATTACGAGCTATCCATCCCTCTTGAGTCAAAGGCTGTGCTTGAAAGGTCGAAAAAGTGCATTTTATGGCGTTTCTCGGTCTTGAAGATTGCTGAAGGGGATGGGCGAGCGATGGCCAACTGAGTCGCAATTGGCTGCCTGAGCCGATCAGCCAACTGCCGCCAAAATGGGTGGAGTTACAGTATCCTCGCCAGTCGCTGTTTTTGGCGGGAATCCCTCGCCCGACCCCTCAGCATTTTTTAAGATCGGAAAACGCTGAAAAAGCACGTCTTTAACTTTTCAAGCATTGTCTCGGACTCAGCAGATCCAGAAGGTCGTGTAGGTGCAAAAAGTCGCTTTCGCATCCTTTCCGAGCCCCTGCCTTCAATCAGAGAACGAGATGTCGCAATGGCGCCCTGTCTCTGCGTCCGATAAATGGCCTATGCTTGTAAATTGAAGACTGATACGGTAGACGACAGAAGAGGATTCGCTTAAATAGGAAAGAGAAAGAGACAAAATATGAACAAGTTGCCTATAGCAAGGTTCAAAGGCAAGTAAGGAACGTTGATCAGGTTGAATTTCCCACCAAGTAATCTGTCTCTATCTCTGAGTTGCGAACAGTTAGTGTGATAAAACACTTATAACCCTCATCTACCTGAACCTCTGCTCGCGCGGTGAGATCAATGGTCGTGAACAAATGTAAACTATCGTAGTAAGGGTAAAGAACACCACAGATGCAAGAGAGCAGAACATCCGGTCAGTGTAGAAAGCAATGAAAGTGAGCACAGAGCAGCTCGGTGTGATGGCGGTGAGCTATTTTGAGAGGGATAAGAGTCCATAAGCTGCTTTGCAAACAACAGAATGTTCACTGCAGATTACTTTACTTACAGATTATTTACCGCTAGATAAACGCCAAGGTTGATAAAATGATCTATCTTCCGTACTTTCAGGAACCCCTTATGATGAGTTGT